GGGAAGTTTAATTCAGTTTATTAGATATTCAACATTCAGGGCATTTAATATAAATTGTTTTGCTACTACTTGCAACACTGGAAGACTAAAGGAGAGTGCTGTTGTGAACTTTGAGATCAGGAGATCTGCAGAGAGAGGATTTCTACCTTAGTGAAAGTGCTGAGCACCAGGAAGATTACATTCTCTTCCACATAAAGGAGAATTAAGCAGGTTTTCATCTCTCTTTTTGCAAAGACGGCAGCAATCTCTAGTGCTGGGGTGGACTTTTCTCTTCTTCAGTGAGATGTTGGAGCACCACACAGACAGCGCTGGGCTGCGAGCAGCCTGGAGCAGAGGTGACTGGTGTTTCCTGGGCTAAACAAGGGATTTGGGTGCCTGAAGCCTGAGTGAAGAAGCAGATTTAGGAAACGGAGCAGCAGAGAGAAGTAGGGATGAAGGTTGCATGAGGTCCAAAGGACAAAGGAAGCAGGATTTTTGCAGATCCCTGGCACTGTGCAGTGATTACTAGAGAAATGTTCATATAATTGAGAGGTGTCCAAGGAATGTAAATGGAAGAGTTTGAAGGTGGGCAAGCACACAGTTCAGCTGTGCTATCAGCAAGGTGTTTCCAAAGCTGATGAGCAAAGCACTTCCTTTGCCCCTTTTATGGCAAGTGAAGAAAGGAGCAGGGCTGTATTGAAATATGTGTGGTAGGAGCCCCGTTCATGTGAAGAGGCTCCATTCAGGGCCTTACAAAGGCTATGAGTCAACTGCAAAGAAAGGAGGCATTTCACAGAAACTGAAGTGTGACCCTTTGTTTTGCCTGACCCCAAGGTCCTCAGTGACACAAAAGGGGACCCCAGCACTGGTTCTGCAGCAACAAATGCCTGTTGTGAGTGAGTGTATTTGAGGAGCAGTGACAAAAAGGAATGACCCGAGGTTCCTGTTTCCAGGCCTTGTTTCCCAAGGGGCTGTCAAGGAGGGAGTCCTCTGTGCAGCCTGACTGAGGCAGGGAGATGAAGGTGCTGGAAAGCTCTTCCTAGTGGATGCATTTCCCTTGAAAACCTCTCCTGAAATGCATGATCTGATAATCCACATGTACTATTAGGACACCTGGATGATGAGGTTTTTGGACTTTGCTCTGCAAAGTCTATAGAAATTAATACGTCTTTTATTCAGCTGTTACGTGAAGTGGGTTTTTTCTAATTTAGGACTGGCACGGGATTAGAGTGTCTTAGTAGCCCTACCTTTGTTTTAACCTTCCATTAGTCCATGACTACTTTCTTTCACAATCAAAATAGACATGAAAGGGATGTTTTGCTTTGCTCTTTTCATTATTCCAGAGAGCCGTAAGTCCCTATTTAAGTTCACGATGGAATCAGGGTGCAGAATGATGGATTTAAAGGTATCGTAAAACTCTTCCTGGTAAGTAGTAGTCCCCAAATATATTCCAGTTGCGACCTGAGAGAGGCTGCTGGAGGCATCTCAAGCAGCCATGCACTGGCTCTGCAGATCCTTTGAGCTGAGGAAATTCATTTGCATATGGATGCCATGCTAAGGAGGCCAGCCTGGATTTCATTACTGCTAATGAGGTGTGTGGGAGAAGTGATTTAGTTTATAGCCAGTGCCAGGCATGCCACAATGAGGAAGTACTTAATTCATACAAAGCTTTTTCTTGCTTCTAAGACCTAAAAATCAGGGTACTTCAAGCAGTTCCAGTGTTACAGATGCGGTGTCTTCATGACCATGAACAGAGCTGTGACTGAGGCGAGGGAAGGAGAGAGAAGGAAACATCAAGACGTAGTATTGATGTCATAGAGGAAAGGATAGGAGGAGAAGAGAAATGAAAGGGAATGAAAAGCAGAAGAGAAGAAAGACCAACGGAGGATGAAAAAAACCAGCAGGGAGAATTGGCTCTGCAGAAACTGTGGCTGCCAAGGCTGGATGTTTGGACTTTGGAGGTGACAGAATTTTCACTGGATCTTTACTATAGTTTTCACAACTCAAAATGCAGGCCTGTGGTAAGGCGTCCATCTTCAGAGACAAGTTTCTGAGAACCGGAATGGAGAAAAGGGACCCCAGGACACCACTGGAGTTGGAGTAGTTGGGAATTGCTGCACTGCCTGAAGGCATCTTCCTGCTCCACTGGAGCCACCTCTGCTTTCCTGTTCTAACAGACATTGCCTCAGACAAGGGGGAAAGGAGAGGGGCCTGGGGGCAGGTTCCTGGCATCTGCTTCAGGGGTGGAAGGGGCTACTATGCTCAGGCAACTTCAGGAAGAGCTATTTGAATGGGGATCAGTGTCTTGGGTGGCCTCTAAGCTGTGAGTCATAAATTCATCAAGCAGAAGAAAGGATCCAGAAAGAAGGAATGGGTGAGTGAGGCAAATAAATCAGAGGGCTTAAGGCACACCATACTAGCATGCTGAAAGTGTCTAGAGCATGCACTGCCCCCAGGACAGAATTTAAATGTTGAGAAGGCTCGGAGGAGGAACCCAATTATGGGGTTTATGGGTACCAACTCCCCTGGTGTTTCATACTCCCCTGCTAACATTGCACAGGGTAGCAGGGAAGAAGGGCTGTGAGCTGCTATCCATTGCTGACCATCCATCTGCAGCCCACAGTACGAAAACCTGAACACAGATCCTTCAGGAGGAATTACTCCTGCCTTATTCATGGCACAGCAGCTGGTTGTAATGAATTTTAACTGTTTGGCTGCAATCACCCACAATGAATGCAATCAAAAGGGTTATGGCCCTGCTCACTCCTGCAGCAGCCTGGAAATACTATCTCTGAAAATACAGGACGATTTTGGGAACCTTGATTTAAGCATTGTCGTTCTGCAATTTTCTGAAGAGGGAAATCAGCTGGTCAGTTGGACAGGGGGATGTGAACACCACTTCAGTCATCTGTGAATGGGAAAAGCAGTTTGGCGAGTTCCCTGATTTCTGCTTCATCCAAGTTGAACTCAAAGGGTATGGAACAGTGACATTTATCTGGGGTTACTGGAAATTAAATATTGTTTACTTGATATTGCAATTGAATTCAGAACAGCTGTAGGATGTCTTTAAAGAACAAGTCCCAGCTTTAGCATTTGTGTGTCCCTGAGAAAATACTGAGATTTGCTGAACTGATGGCCTTTGCATGTGGTTTTAGGCCAACTGTCGCCTCTTGAATGTTTTAGTATGTGCAAGTCACTTGAAGATCTTCATACCCTGCTGTCTGAAAACAGCACACAGACTTCACTGACTAGAAGAAACAAGAAAGATTATTTATCATAAAAGAAGAAGCAGGAATCAGCTAAATTTAGACATCATCTGAAGAGCAACGGTGAGACAAAATAAAGTGTAATTATTAAAGACCAAGGGGGAAAAAAAAGTAGAAAAAGAGATTATGCCAATGCATTATTTTTACTGGGCCTCTATTGGCAGACTGAATTGTGTTGGGGATGGCTCATTTCTCCTCAGCAACAACAGCAGGTTTTAAATAATGCTTCATATTTCCCAGGTTTAGCAGATGAAGAAAAGTAATTACTTGGGAGGCAAATAGAGCAGATTTGCAAACAGAGGAGAATGTTTTATGGCCAGACTTGCAAAAATTTGGCTCCTGCAGATGCCAGAAGACTCTGCATCTGCTTTAATCAATGTGGGTTGGTCCTTGTTGATTATTTCTTTGAGATCCTCATGGCTCTTAAGGCAGTAATTTTATATTATCTAAGACAATGTGATTGTACAGCTTCACAGAGAGGGCAACTTACCTGAAAATTCAGAGTGCATGGCTTTTGAACTGTAAGAACTTCTGGTTCAGAGAAGTCTGAGTTTTTTGTTTTGTTTTGTTTTTGAAATGTCATTGTTCTTTCATGTCTGTATTTAGGACCCATTGGCCAATGTTGCATGTCTGAGCTTGCAAACACATGGATTCTACAGACAGCAGAAGACTCTGTTTGCTTTGATCAAGGGGGTCTGATTATTTCTTTGAGATCCCCATGGTTCTTGGGGTGGTAGTTATAGACCATCTACAGCTACATCAATATTCAGCTTTTCTTCACACAGAGGGCAACTCACCAGCAGACTGAAGCTGAATGTCTGCTCAGTTTATTAGCAAATGACCAAGAGAAAACAAAAGAACCTGGAAATGCTGAGCAATGCAGTGGTGGATATAGAGACACCCTGTGGTGTCACCTTGACTGCTTTACTTTTCATGACAGTGGAATTGGGTTGGAGTGTGATGGGACTGGGTCTCCCTGTCTCCCTGTTTATAGTGACCCTGCTGTAATGTATCTTCTTTAAGATAAGATCTTCTTTAAACATAAGAGGCAAGGAGAGAGGGGAGAGGGCAAGCAAGCACTGTATCTGTAACATTTAATTGTATGAGACAGGGATTTTTCAACAGGCCTTGCAACACAAAGAACATTCAGCTATCAGCATCACAGTATATATTTTCTAAATCACAACACCCACACATTTCCTTAGCCAAGTAGAAGTTTTCTCTCCATGGCTGCATATCTAAAATTAGCCTGAAGGTCAAATCTGAATAGAAATACCCTTATCATTGAATGTGCTGGGAATGATTGGTGCAGTGGGCTCAATTTTCCCATCGAAAACCTTCATTTATTTTTTTTTTAAATAACAGTTGCTTTTACAGTCAAAGAGCTTGGAGAAAGGCAAAATGAGGCCTGCTGTATAAAATCAACATCAATATTCTGCTTTCACTGCAGGGCTATTTTTATTGCCAACTATTTTAAATGTAACAAGATGGATATAGTGAAGCCACAGTATAAAAGATGCAGCAAGAGGCTTCTGAATAGTAAGGCTGAGCACAGACATATGAAAGAAAGGCCTTGAAACTTGGAAGATGTTTGTACATGAAGAAAGACACAATGAAGAATTCTAAGTAAAGAAATGTATTGTTGAGAAGAAGTGACTAGTTCAGGTCTAAAAATAGTTTTTAACCTGCATTTGTATTATGTGGGGACTAAGCAGCCTATGCTGCATAAACGCAAAAGCACCGTCCTGCAAGAAGTGCATTTATCAGCCACAGTGTTTTATTGAGTGCTTTAATAATACAAGTGTACATCAACTGATCCACAGTCAAAAGTGGCAGGTCCCTAAGAAATTTACAAGCACTTTTTTTTTTTGTTTTTTAAGTAAATCAAAATACATATTAATTTGTTCAATGCAATAGCCTTTTGTGTGGGAAACAGAAGGCTAGTGATAAACACAGTCTTAGTAATGCACAGTGATTCTTGATTTTAAGCTTTTATACAAAACTTGTTCCCAGTAGCATGCACCCACCATTAAAGACTTCAGTACAAAAAAATAACCCTAAACACTACATTTAAGTAGAAATGAGATATAATTCTGAATTTGTTTGTTTTCCCCAAAACCACATGAAAGAAAAAAAAAAACCAACCCCACACATTAATACAAAGCTTTCTGATAAAGCTCTATACTATTACAGATCCAACATTCTTTGCACTGATAACCAAAATTCCCTGTCTACATTTGAGGGAAACAACTTTCAAGTTAACAGAACAAAAAAAAACCAAACCCAGAACAAATAAAAATAAAAATAAACAAAAATGAAACAAACAAACAAAAAAAGGAAGTAAGGACAACCTTTTGTCACAAAATGGTTCAAGATTTAATAAAAAATAAGAATGAAGGGAAGGGCTATTGATGCACTTAGTGAATGTGCTTGCACAGGTCCAGCAAATCCTAGAGGAGGTTCCTATGTGGCGTATCGCTTGGTCCACTGTCTGGCCATTCTGTCGTGCTCTGCTCTGTTAGTCATGTACTGAGTGGCAATGCTTCCAACCAGGGGGTCAGCTGAAAAGGAAACACAGACCGTGAAACGCGCGTCAGCCCCGGGAGGACAAAAAAGCCATTTTTAGATCCACGTTCCTTCAGTTCTCTCAGGTCTAACAAGGTGCCCACATATACCAGCTTTGTTTTCAAAGCAGGGAAGGAAGGAGATGAAGGTGAGATGGATGGCAATTAGCTATACATGTCTCATAAACAATTTTATAAAGTTCTACCTCACAAAAAAAAAAATGTTCTGATAAATTTTTTTGAGCTAAAACTCACCTTCAGGTGATGTAATTTATTTATGGTATTAGACTCCCACAACGATTCGTATTCTCACGTAAGAAGAGGATGAGCTCTAATTCTATTATCAGATTGAATGTTGTTTCATTTTCTTTAAAATACTTTTAGTTTCAAAGCATAAAGAAATGTAAGGAATTAGGGCAGCAAGTACTATTTTCACAGCAACAGAAGTTAATTCCAAATTTTGGGATTTTAAAATTTAATTTATGGAATCATTCTAACATTCCTATGGCCAGAATGTAATTAGTAGATCCGGACCATATCCAGAATGATATGGTCCAGATCTACTAATTACTTCACAAATAATTAATCAAAACCAATCAGTTTCGTAAATAAAACAACCCAAAACAAGACAGTCCCACAAATGACTGTATTTCATCAACTTTTTTTCAGACAACATTTTTTCTCATTTTAAGCATACAAAATTTATAGTTTCCTCCTTTTTTTGAGGGGAACACAAGCTCTTGATATTTCTGCTGCGACACTAAATGCTCTGAGATTGTACCATGCAAGTCCAGAGGCACTGATACCACACTTTTCCCTGACTTAGGACAGATGAAGATGACTTCTTATGAAAGCCAGGTATTAATGAGCTTTGCTGTTGTCTGAAGATGGTGCCACTGAACAATCTGAGCATTGGCTTTCTCGGTACAGTTGTAATCTGAGCGTGGTGCTTGCACTGTTAACCACGGGATTTCCTGGGACAAGATGTCAGGCCTTCTGTCAAGCAGAGTAAATCTGGGCTTTTTTGTTTGGTTGTTGATGATAAGAATTTATGATAGGGGAACATGTTGGCTTAGCCAAAAATTGTTTGATTGGCTGACTGCCAATCTCACTGAACATTGGTGAGTAATATCTACTAGAAAAAGTGCTTTTGCTTTCCATGCATAACCTGCACTTTCAGGAAGAACCTGTGATTTGAATGTTAAGTTTCCACCTTCTAAATTAGTAAGACAAATTATCACTGTGACTGCAGTGTACTAAGTCCCTGCAGTCTCAGTCCTGCAAACACTTACTGCATGTGCTTACCTTTAATATCTTAATATATCCAGAGGGGGTCACTGAGGCCTGGACTTGATTATTTTTACATGCGTGTGTGTAAAAGAAGCCTATCTGGTCTAAGATAGAGTTTAAAAGTTATAGACTGGAAAGTATATCACTTTTAACTCCACAGCCAGGAAGAGAAACTGTATAGGGGATTTTCTGAGGGATTTTGTCCTGTGCAAATAAGAGGTTAACAGTCTACAGGCTCTTAAGTAGCAAAAAGTTATTTGTGGCTGGAATGAGGTTTGAGAAGCACCTGAGCAAGAGGAAGGGGAAACATTTCTCTTCACACAATATTTCCTTAAACAGCAACAGGAAAACCTTGTTGTAGTGTAAATGGCAGCTTGCGGATGAGTGTGAGAGCACTGCTGCAAATTCCCACATCCTCCTCGGACACAAGGCCTCTGTGCAGAGAAACACTTCCACATACTTGTGGAGAAACGGAGACTAAGGGTTGAACTTGAAAGGAATCTTTGAAGCAAAATTTGAAGCATATCCTAGTTTTCATGCTTGTAGGAGAAGGTGGGGTTTGGCCTCTGAGGCATCTGGCTGGGAAGGGTTGCAGGAATATCACAGCATTGCCATCTGGAATGTAGCGAGTTCTTATTGAGGTTTAGTGTGTATTTAAAGAGATGCCTCTGAGATCTTTATAAAACCTTGTATGAGTCAGTGAACAGTGATGTGCTCTAGTAAAGGTTTATCTAGTTCAAATATGGAAGCTTTTTCATGTGCAGGATGAATGTTTCTGAGAAAGCATGTCTTTCACGTGTTGAGAGCAGTAAATTGATTTCCTTGATATACTGCAAGGCTACTGAGGATCACATCATCATCCCCAAACCTTGATGATAATTAGAATGTTTGGCTTCCCAGTGTGGGGTTTCATCTAAATCTCCTTTTAGGAGCAAGAAAGTATTTCAAAACCATAAATCTTTATAAGGCTTTGGAAGGTACAGGCTCTTCCCCCAACCTCCTTCCAGCATGCGACGGTGTCTCCTTTCCTTTGGGGTGACAGAATCAGTGAGAGGTGTTCTTGGTAAAGTGTGGAAATCTGTTCAAGTCCAGTAATGTAAAGAACTGGGCTGTGTATTTATCCATGTGTTCAAGCCTTTGTCTCTGCAGTGTTTTGTCTGGCAGCTGAAAGAGTGGAGGTGATGGCCTGTCAGATATCTGAGATCTACAAAGCTTTGGTTGTAGGTGTGTAAATTCTGCTGAGTGACCTGACAATCAACTATCAATTATCTCAGTGTTTCCCACAAGCCAGTGCCTCCCTGCACTGGGGTCTGCCTGTATGAAGCAGGACTGTGGAAGCAAAGAGAGGTCCTTGCTTGCTGTAGCATGAGCAGGACCAGCTGCACCCACAGCCAGCTGCAAAGTGAACACTACTAAAAGGTACTTTCAGTAATTACAGCAATGACATTGTTTTTTTTCAGTTTGGCTGTGTGTTTTGTTGGTTATAACAATATTGAATAAAAAATCAAACCTACTGTTTGGGAAAGCCACTTGCTTATTTGAGAGCAAGGAATTTCTTTCAAGGAATACAAAAACAGTTATTGACAGAGAGGCTCAGCTATTTCACATCTCTCTCAGAGGGTCTGGAGCTGTGTTACACATAAATATGTGTGAGGACTTTAAAAAGTACACTTTAATAGGTACTTCAAGAACTGGCTTATTTTAGCAGTTGCTGTGAAGTCATAAAGCCATCAGGAGGCACAACTGCTTTGTTTGGGAAGCCAGGACAGCTGGCGAGGAGGGAAATGTAACCTTCAGACTAGAGCCACCCAAGCAGGGGAGCAGCAGCCAGTTTGAGGCAGCACGCTGCATTTGTGCCACGGGATGTAAGGACAGTGTGTGAGCTCCAGAAATGCCACTGGTCTCTCCCTGCGGCTGTGTGGGCAGCTCCAGCCACCAGGTCCAAGGAGACACATCTCTCAACACTCCATGAGTCACGAGTCACCGCTGCTGCGTAATTTGCCGTGACGGGCCGTAACACAGAGATTACAAGATACATTGAAGCATCTTAATTAAAACAATTAAAAGATTTAACGCCCAACATGCACAAGCCTTTGTTAGAGTGCCCTAGTCCTACAAAATATTAAGTATGAGGAAGAAATTCTACAAAACACCAAGTATGAGGAAGAAACAATGGTCCCCATTTACCCCCCTATGTTATGTAGCACATGGCTGAGCACCACCTGGTGCTCAGCTGGGCTGCACTGTTTAAGGGTTATTGTGAAATATCCATTAGTAGGGCCAAATATGTATTTATAAAACAACCACTGCATAAATTATCTAATTAAGAGATGAAAAGGAAAATTGGATCTCAAAATTCATAACCACATTTTTCTTTTGTTTCCATTTCCCACTACCAGAAAGCTTTCTTATTTTCCATTTGTATATATCTGTGGTTTTAATCTTGATGGTAGAATTTGTTTCTATAACTAGTCAACTGCTCTATTTTTTAATGTTTTTTTTTTTTTTTCCTTAAAGAAGTAGCAGAATTCATCAATGAGTCAGGGTTAATTTCAGAATTTTACTCTAAACAGGACTGTGTCCAAATGACAACAATTACCAGGGGATAGGAATATAAAGCTATGCCAGGAATGTGTTGATGAAACAATTTTGTGAAAGAAATTAAAATAAACCCACAATAAATTAATACAAAAGCATATCTATGCAACTCATGGCCTGGCAGGAGATCACCAGATGTGTGGTGGCTGGCTTGAGAGCTGGGATGGCACTCTCTGTGCACAGCACCTTCCCCATCCTGTGGGCAGGAATGGGCTTCCCAGCCTTTGGGGGGCTGGTGGCTGTGCCAGCCTGGAGGAGCTGCTGCAACTCTGTGGACCCAGAAATATTTAGGCCTTGTAATTTACTGTTCCTTCTAAAACCTCACCCTAGGATGCCTCCATAACCTTTAACTTGTGCGAAGGAAATTTTTTATCCTGTACTCTGATTAACTCCATGCAAAATATTAGCACACCAGGAATTACAGGATCAAATTTCACATCAGAGGACAGTGTATGAGTAACAAAAATGTATAAAAAAGGTACCATATAATACAGGCAAGGACAGTAGCTATGGTTCAGCAATGTAGTTTACAAGGAAAATGTCAATCTAAAGAACTAGACTATGAAAAAAATCTTCTGGATGATTTACAGCAAGACTGCAGCTGCTAAATCCCTCCTCACCTCACCATATGTAATCCTCATGTTATATTAGAATTCATGAAATTGCCCTGTATTTATGTGATTTTGAAAGCTGGGTGAGCTGGAGCTTGTCCCTAGCTTAAAAAGGTTGGATGCACTGCTTGACAATACCTTGTCATCTTCTTTTGCAGCCTCTTAATATGACTGTATAAGGAAGAACATTTGTGTCTCATGTCTATTGTAAGGCTAATCAAATTTACAGTTCAATTCTAGGGAGTTAATGCTATTGGGGATTTGGATGAGCTGAGGTTTGGTCATTACAAAATTTCAGCTGTGTTTAATGCTAGTTAAACTGCTTTATCATTCAGAAGGCAGACTATAATTCTTTCTTAAAAACTACTTTCCCCCCAAATAAATGAAAATATATTGCTACACTGTATTTTTCTCAGCTTGTATTTTTACAGCTATTTCTATGTCAGCAAATAACAATTTCAGAGCAGAATTCATCTCCTGGGCTTTGCAATGCTCTTT